TTTCTAAACCTGACTGATCATCAGCATCACCTGGATGCTTTCCTACAATGCAGAATCTTGGGCTTGGCTCCAGCCCTAGACACTCTGATTCAGTATGTCTGGGGCAAGGCCTGGCTATCTGCATTTTTGGAAGCATCCCAGGTGAATCTGAACACCATTTAGGTTTTTGGGAACAACTGCTCTCTATAAAGAGCACTGTGTGTGTGTGTGTACACATGTGTGTGCATGTGCATGCACACACATGTCCTCCTACAGGCAAGGCTAGCAAACCTGTAAAATAAGTAATAGATCTTGGATGCCTCTCATCTCCTCTTTTAGGGGTCTTCTACCCTTTGGCCCTCCTTCCTGATGCCTCATGGTTCTTTTGCTCACCCCTCATCAGATGATAGCTTAGTCCCTTTTAGGGGTTGGCTCATTGTCACAGTAGACTCTTAGGGATGGATAATCATTCAAGTTCAAAAGTAGTAAATCTCTAGTGGTAGAATTTCAAGCTTTGGGACAAGCAAATGGATGTGGGAGACGTTTTAGGGAGGGGAGACATCTTATCATGCTGTGTGTGGTTGTGTATTTCCCATGACAGCTCTCCAGCACAGAACTCCCACGTGTATATCATATGTTTGCATATATACCATAAAAATAAAATACCCACAAAACTCTCAGAATGAAAAGCAAACACATATACTGAGCAGGTGGATTTTTAGAGTGTGCAACCTTTTTTAGGGGAAAAAATTATGAAAGCATTTTCAGTGTCAAGTCTCACCACAAGGCATGCTCTTGAAGCTGGAAGAGAGGCATCCAGAAATACGAGTTTGTCATGGAAACGCTGACAGGGCTTCAGCTGAGGGATGCTCACAGGTGCAGCCCAGAATGGCGCAGCCTCTTGCCGCTTATTTACATCCCGGCCCACTGAATGAATTCTCTTTTCCTGTTTCCTGGCCCCTGGAAACTCAGCTGGCCTTCCGGGGACCTGAGGGTTTCTATCAGGAAGGTCTCTGGTGGTGGTTTTCAGATTTCTGGGGCAGGAAATAGAGGGGGGGGTCTTAGGATCAGTTTCATTTCTGGAAGAAGAGCTCCTGGAGGGAGTACTGAAAGGAATGAGGGGAGGAGGGAAGGAATGAACGAAGGAAGGGAGCAAGGGAGGGAAACGCTGATTCTAAGTGTCAGGCACAACCCTAGAAGCATATAGCCATCATATTCAAGTCTTCATCACCATCAGCTGTAACCCAGTGAGTTATCAAAGCTTATTACTATGATACAGAGAAGGAAAGAGGCTGGCAGATCCAGAGTGGGAGCTTACAACCACATCCTTGGTAGGCTAGGTGGCTGGGTGGTGTAAGGATTGGGAGTTCCCCTGACCCACCAGTTTTGCTGATGCCGAAAGCCCTCAAGCATGGCACAAAGGCCTTCCCTTGACAAGCAGTGAGAAAGATGGAAAGGTAATTCCTCCTGGGACCATCCTTGGTCCTGTCAAGGGGTAGAATGACCACAGACCTTGTGCTGGGGATAGGCCTTGCTCCGGGGGACACTTGGTCCCTGAGGATATGGGTTCTCTCTTCTTCCCAACTGGGGCCCAGGAGTCCTGGCAGGAGCAAGAGAAGGGCATCAGCTGCTTTAGGAGCCAATAGGCAGGGCCTGAGAGGCTGGGGGAAATGGTTGGGAAAAGGAAAAAGTGGTTTCTGTCTGAGGGAAGTTTCCATCTAGCGGGGAAAGTGTGGTCCTTTAGGGGCTCCCAATCCAATCTGACAAGGGAGGCAGGAACTCTGAACACAAGGAGTCCAAGAAGGATAAAAGAAAGAAAGAAAGCACAGTCCATGCACTCCAGGGGCTCAGCGTCTGGAGAGAGAAAGACCTGTTTCTTCAACACTGGCCGTAGACTGCCCCACCCCTGACCAAGCATCTCAGGAATCAAAGCCACCAACCCCGCCCTGGACTGTGTGAAGAGCTGGGGTGAGACAGACAGCCCAGCTCTCTCCTATGTGCCTGCCTGTCCTCCGAGCATCCTCCTGCAGCCCTTTCTGTCAGCTGCCCGCTCTGTGGAGGCCTGCAGCTTTGGCCAGGCGCAGCGGCTCTGCTGGGAGGCTGGTTTGCACTCAGGGCTGCTCTGATCGGGCCCACCTTTCCTTCCCCAGCAGGAGCCTTGGGAGCTTGGGAGACATTCCAGGACTGGCTCTGACACGAATTTGCTGTTCAGTGCGCCAGGCGATCAGAGCTGACTCCTCTCCCTTTTCCCTTGGAGGTGTTGATAGTAACAGCAGAGACGAGCTGCCAAGTTGGCAGGAGAACAGAGCGACTGTGCACTGCGGATTGCGGTGGGGGTGGGGGTGCAGCAAGCTGGCAGAGGGCTGGGCTGAAGCCACAGTTTGTTTACCCTGAGATGGAAAGGGTCCCTGCAGTCTCGGCAGCCAGCATCTTGCCCAGGAGGGGAGATTAGAGAGGAAGGCGGAGGCCCCGGGGGAGCCCTAGGGCAGTGGTGTGGGGTGAGGCATCTGGGAGGTTCCCAGGTCTGGGTGCTGCCAGAGTCGGTGGGAGGGGCCTTCTGGCTGGGCCTGAAGCCACCAGGCAGCCTGGCCCCGAGAGGCATGCCGGGCCTCAGAGGCAGGACAGAGATCCACCTTTGTTCCTGCTGTCCATGAAGCAGCTTTGGAGTTTCCAAACAGGAATGGACCTGGGGTGGGGAGCAGGCGAGTTCTGTAGCTTCTTCCTCCACAGAGGACCTTAGAAGGCACCCATGCTGTCAATCAAATAGACCTGGGACCTTGAGCAAGTCATTCAACTTCTTTGAGCCTCAGAGACGAATATCTACTTCAGAGCTTTGTGTGAGGATTCAACAAAGTAGTAACAGCAAAAACTTATCTATTGCTTACCACAAGGCAGACACTCTTCTAAGAGCTTTACATACGTGAAGGCACTTAATCTTCAAACGACTTCATCAGGTGGGTGCTATTATTATTCCCACTTTATTAATGAAGTAACTAAGGCACAGAAAGGGTAAGTAATTATCCAAGGTCACAGAGCTAGTGAGTAGCAAGGTTGGGTTTGAACTCAGTCGTGTGTCACTTAGGCCATGTTCCCAGCCCTTACACAAACTGCCCTCACAGTGCAACAGAGTTCTTAGCACAGTGCTTGGCACAGAGCAAGCATTTAATAAACATTGGCTCTCACCATGACTTCCTGAAAGCAGTTCCAGCAGGGGACCCAGGCTCCTGACATCCTCCCCAGGGACCCCACGGGGCCCTAGGGCTGATTCTCTTCCATCTTTGGTTCACACCACCTCGCTTCTCCTGGGAGCTGGAGCAGTTCCTCCACGGGAGCGAGAGCCACTGGTCTCCCCTGCTCCTTGCTCCTCGGTCCCCTCCTCCCACCTAAGGCAGAGCAGAGCGGAGCAGAGGAATTCTCAGCTTCCTCTAGTTACCATCAGCCTGCAAAGAAAACATAGTCTGCTGCGTCTGCTGCCAGTTCCTCTCTGGTGACAGCCACAACCCATTTGCTCAGTGCCATTCCCAGCCTGTGCTGTTGGTAGAGCTGGGAGCCTAGGGGTGGACCCCAGTGTGCTGCACGAGACCCTGGGCCAGTCACTTCAAGGCTCGGGTTTGAGGGTTGCTCAAAGGGGCAGGCCTGGGCCAAATAATTTCTTGGCTCTAAGGGTTAAGACTGAAGGTTGGTGTGCTGCATTCATAGCCTCTTCTTAGGGTAGGAAGTCCATTGTATGGACATGTTCCCCATATTTGGGGGAGTTCATTAATGCAGTCTGGCAAATTAGTAAGTGGCATTACAAGTCCCCTAAACTGTGCTACTGGCCACCTTTGCCTCTTAGGAGTTTCCAGGGAATGAATCCGTTGCCACTTTCTGGGCAGCCAGAGCTACCTCCTATCAGCTGTGAGACAGCAAACCAGAGCCAGGAGCCTGGATTACCGACTGCTTCCCAGGTCTGAGTTCCTCCCTGGGACAATTAAACCCCAATTATTAGTGCTGGGTGAAAGGAATTGCAGTGTAGATGTCTTAAAACAACACTGTTGTGCTGATATGTGCTAGGAAGCATTGTTGGTATGTTGGCTACAGATTCACCCTCCTAATTGGTTCTTTCAAGTAATGACTGATGGCAGGAGGAGACCAGGTGGGGTTGGGAAGCTGGGGCTGAAATTCTGCCATGGATGACTCAGAAGGAGATGGAATATTCTAAATTTTATACTTAGAACAGAGAAAGCAGGGATATAGTACCTTGTAGTCAGAAACCTTTATTAAAGGAGTTTTCAGCCCCCAGGGATCAACTGGAGCATGGTGGTCAATAATTACGAATACAGAGGGCTGTCACAACCAGACGACTCCTTTCTCCATGCTAACTACCCAAGCAGCGCTTAAGAATCCTTAGCCATGGGAGTGTTCTCTGTCTGGGCCAGGGAAGTGGAGGGGAAACCGAGGCATCAAACAGAGGAGAGGTCCTGAGGTGTTTCAAGGAACCCAGAAGGCTGACGCCCATCACCACACAGGGCTGACCACCCTCTTGGTCTTTGGATTCCAAAATATTGAACTTCCTTGTTGGAGATTTCCTTTTTCCCACGAGAAGAACATCTCCAGTGATGTAATAGAAGGCAGAGAGAGGAAGGATTGCCTTGCAGTCAACTTACTGGCACGTATCTGTTCTGTAAAGTTACAAGGGTCTTTGTCCATTGCTTCCAGAAATGCATACTCTGTCAGATCCCAAGGGGCCCATTTACAATTGATGACAAGAAGTCGGAGGGGTGAGTATGGAGAGGAGACTCCAGAGGAGTGGGGAGTGACTCCCTTCCTCCTGCTGCTGATCCTGTTTGGTGCCAAGCAATAGTCAGAAATCAGGAGTGGTGAGAAGCAAATGGCCCGGGTGGAAAGGAGAGGGGAGTTCACCAGGAGCAAGAGAATGAAGGTGAGCAAGAACTCACAGTGAGAGCCCCAGGGGACTGGGAGAAGGGAGTCTGCCAGGAGAGGGCAGGCCTTCCCGGGTAGGGGTGGCAAGCAGACCTCCTTGGATGGGGTACATGGCAGGCCAGCCCAGAGGCAGGGGGATGCTCAGGATGACCTGTAAGATTCCTTCCCTATGGAGGCCTCTGTAGAAATCCAGAATGGGTGAGCAGAAGTGGCTCGAGGTTCGATTTTCCTGAAGATGCCCTGAGCTGGAGGAGACAGGCTGCGTTGACTCTTCATTTATTTATGAGGCTATCGATTATAATGCAGCTTTTCCACAGGATCCTGAAGTAGCTGTAGTTGGGAGAAGAAACCTCTTACCAGTTAGCTTCCTTTGCCCTGGAGAAGTCGGGCACTCGGAGAGGCTGTCCCCCTCCCTCCCCGCGTTCTCCTCTACCCATCACTTTTGCAGCCCTCACCCCTGAGCACCCTGAGGGTTGGGAGCTTGGACAGCCCTCTACTTTCCTCTTTTTAAAAAATTTTTTATTTTTCCTTCTTCTCCCCAACGCCCCTGAGTACAACATAGTTGTATATTTTAGTTGTGGGTCCTTCTGGTTGTGCCATGTGGGACACCGCCTCATCATGGCCTGATGAGTGGTGCAAAGTTTGTGCCCAGGATCCGAACTGGTGAAACCCTGGGCCAGCGAAGCAGTGCACGTGAACTTAATCACTCGGCCATGGGGCCAGCCCCTCTACTTTCCTCTTTTCTCAGGTCTGGCTGTTCTGGTTTCTCCCAATATTTAGGACACACTTCAGCACCCCCAATCCTAACAGCAGGGCATTGCTTAACTCATGTGCAGACATTAAATTTCTGAGCTGGGGAAGACCTCCGAGATCTTCGCAGCAAAACCCTTTTGTTTTACTGAGAAGAAACAGTGGCCAAGGGGAAGTGATTTCCCCAAAGTTGCACAAAGCCAGAGTCACAACCTGGACAAGAATGGAGGCTTCCTGATCCCCCCAGGCGAGGACCCTTTGCACTGTACCACGTTGCCTCCATATCTGACCCTTCAACCCAGGGTTGGGGATGCCCCTGAACTAGGAATCACTCTCTGGGACCCTTGCCCCCTTTTACAGTCTCCCTGTAGGGCCTCTTCTTAGTTGTGTGTTGTTTTTTTTTCCCCTCCCCAAAGCCCCAGTATATCCTAGTTGTAAGTCCTTCTAGTTCTTCTACGTGAGCTGCCGCCACAACATGGCAACCGACAGATGAGTGATATGGTTCTGTGACGGGTAAGCAAACCCAGGCCACCGAAGCAGTGAGAGTGCTGACCTTTAACCACTAGGCTGTCAGAGCTGGCTCTCTCTTTTGTTGTTTTGCACTTGATGAAATCTTTGCTCTCAGTCTGCCCCAGTCCAAAAGAGGATTGAGGAGGTTTTGTATAGCCCCAAAGAAAAATAGAGGCTAGTGATAACGACTACAAACCTGATCGGACTCACCTGGCCTTATCCACCCTCCATTCCCACCTACCCCCCATTGGCCACCTTTCCTGAGGCCTCCCCCAGCCTCTATGTCCCAACATCAACCTTCAGGTGGGCAGAGATGCCCATGTCTAGTCCTTGTGAAAGAAGTTGGCTCTTCTCCCTTGGCCCTCATTCTGGGGCTCAGTCTTCCAGATCATTGGGAATAGGCCTTTCCATGTGGGCAGAATCCAGGAGACAGGCCAACATTACACCAAGCCCCAAGGGCTGGCTCCCCCTCTTTGGAGACCCTGAAGTTTGGCCCAACTGAATGTGGCTCTAAAGATGAGGACCACTGCCTAGGGTAAGTGGGCCCTCTGCCCTATCAAGGTTGTCTATGTCGTTATACTCCGTAAATTCCTTTTGGCATTCAGTGTTTCAGAATTTAACCCCAACCCAATTTACTGGCCTCACTCTCCTCTTTCTTCCCTTCTCATAGGCTATATACTGTAGCCAAAAGGAATTCCATGTGAGCACCATATATTCTTCCTGTGCCCCTATTGTTCTAGAATGCCCTACCCTCCTGCTCCACATGTGCAGAAAACCCATGTTCTATGCCACTTTCCCTGATTACGGCAGCTGACATTCATTGAGTATCTACTATGTGCTGGACTCTGTACTCTATCCTCACAAGAACCTCCAAATTCTCCCCATTTCTCTGTAGGATTACACAGTAAGTAGCAAAGTCAGGATCTGAACCCAGGCCTGTGGTCTCCAGAGCCCATACTCTTAGCCACTATGGTATATTGCCTCAAGAAATAGCTAACCTTTCCAAAATTATCTTTCTCTTGTCTAGGATTTTATCTGCACTTTCCGTATCACACATCACCTTTTGATTTTTTACTGTAACTACTTATATCATATACCCTAACTTCCTCACTAGACTGTGAGCTCTTGAAAAGTAGGAGCTGGGTCACATTTCGTGCTAGCACATGGCAGGGGGCCATTAAATGTGTTTGGGATGAAGGAATGAACACATGACTGAATGGATTTGAATCATAGCGAGGTCTAATGTCTGCCCAGGGTGGAGTAGGGAGTTGGAACTCCCTTTTCTGAAGAGCCCTAAGCTTCACATTTCCTTTTTAAAGGCACCATGGGAAACGAAGGGAAGGGAAGCGTTTCATAGATGAGTGAGAATAGGAACGCAAACCCCTGCATGTCTGTAATTACAGAGCCTCTTCGTGCTGGCTGCTGCTGGCAGCATGCTGGGGAATGTGTTTTCAATTCTCCAGGTTGGGAACTGCAGGTACTACCGATTGCTTTGTGTGGTCTGACATGGCTGTAAAGGGATGAGAGAGAAGAGGATAATAAAAGCCGTGAGCAATGGCTTTGCCAGGTGCAGGGTCTGCCCCAGAGCAAAGGCCTCCAGCATGCATCCCACCTTCAAGACCCACTTTGGGAAGGCAGAAGGGAGTCCAGCTACCCTTTCTGTGCCGGACTCTTTTGGGATCAGGGACTCCACACAGAGCAGCACATGGCAGGGTGGTCTCTGGCTGGGTTAAGGGCAGCGTCAATCCACTGGGAGTCCTTTCAAGTTGAGAAGGGGCAACCACAGGCTCTAAGGTGCAAGGCACTAGGCAGAGGACATGGAGTGTAGGCATCCTCTACGGAGGGTGTGTGTTGGTGTGTGCGTGTGTGTTCATGCTTGTCTGAGCGTGTCAGAAGCAGTGAGGGGGCCCGTAAGGGGACTGTGTTTCTTTCGGGGCCCTGAGATTCCCTGCTGGGCCCACTTTCTCCGAGGCTCTGTTCAAGACTCAGCTTTTCTGGTCCAAGTTTAGAACGGGCAGATCACGCTACTGGGCCATGGCTGGGAGGATGATTTCCAGCTCTGCCTTTATGTAAACCCACTTGTATTGAGAGACGGTGGGCTCCCACCCACCACTCCCAGCCTCATTCCTACAGTGTATCTTCATCTCCTGTCCAAACAGAGCGGCCTAAAAACCTTGCCTTTGCATGGTACTTTTATTTTGATACTTATATTTTCAAAGCCCATTTACAACTATTATTGCCTTCCATTCTTACAATAGCTCCTCCAGAGGTGAAGAAAGCTGATTCTTTTGATTATAGATGAGCAATTGAGGCCCACAGAGGCTCTGTGACTTGTATCGGGTCACACAGCAAGTTTGGGACCCGCTCTCTGGCTTCCTGACTCCAAGTTATTTCCTGTCTTTAGCTCTGGGCCCCCATCCCCCCATCTCCTTCACCTCCTGTGTCCTGAAAGGAAATCTTCACAGAGAGGCTTGCACTTCATTAGCAACATGCACATGAGTGCTCCTGGTGGTGGGTAGACAGCAATTCAAGACAGGCACCCTCCTTATCTCCTTCCCCCATTCCTACCCACCTAACCCTGACTCCCCCCCCCGCCCCCCCCCCCCCCCCCCGCAGGAGGAAGCTCAACTCCGGCAAGAATCCTCAATATAGCTCTTCCTGAAAACTTGGGGCACATGCCAGGGAGCTTTCCTGGGAGGAGAGTTGGTGCTGTTTGCCCTTCTTGGGAAGGAGGGAGAGACAGTGCTGGCTGGGTCTCCGTAGACGGGCCTGTGCGGGGCCTGGAGCAGGCCTGAAGACAGGGCAATGTGTTACAAGTTTCCCTTTGCCTCATCTCCCAAACTGGGAACCTAATGGTCACTGGGTGGCCATTTCTTTGAGACTTAGAAGTCATCTAGTCTGGCTCTACCCTCCATCTGAAACTTTGTTTATCTGGCTTTGGGGTGAGTCATTCATTGATTCATTCATTGATTCAGCAAATACTTGTTGACTACTGACCACGTGCCAGCCTTTGCTCTAGATGCTGGGGATACCACAGTGAACAAGACAGGCAAGAATCCGATCAGTCTGGAAAAGGACGCAGTTAGTTGGCACACTGTTATTTGGAGGTGGGGTTGGGTGAGGTCAGGATAGAGAAATAATAGGAGCTCAGAGAAGCAGGGTAGCTGGGAAGCCTCCTGGGGAAGAGGCATGTCTAAGCTGAAGCTGGAAAGATGAGTGGAGCATTAAGCCACCCAAGAGAGGGAAGAGTGTTCTAGGCACGGGGAATAGCCTGTGTGAAGGCCCAGAAGCTAGAGAGCACCTGGTACATTTCAGGAACTGAAAGAAGTGCAGAGGGCTGGAGTGTAGCATGCAAAGGGCAGGCAGATGGAGGAGGCAGTAAGAGGTGAGGCTGGGGCTGGGTCATGGGGGGCTCGAAAACCACATTGAGTAGAATGAACTTTATCCTAAAGACAACGATAAACCCCTGAAAGGTTTAAGATGTGTGATATATTCAGATTTGTATTTTAAAAAGATCCTTTTTGCTTTGTGTGGAGTGGTGCTGTTCAATAGAAATATAGTGAGAGCCACAAATGTGAGCCACATTTGTATTTTAAAATTTTCTAGTAGCCACATTAAAAATGTAAAAATAAGCAGGTGAAATTAATTTTCTTTTTTTTGAGGAAGATTAGCCCTGAGCTAACTGCTGCCAATGCTCCTCTTTTTGCTGAGGAAGATTGGCCCTGAGCTAACATCTGTGCCCATCTTCCTCTGCTTTATATGTGGGACGCCTACCACAGCATGGCTTGTCAAGTGGTGCCATGTCCTAACCCAGGATCCGAACCTGTGGACCCTGGGCCGCTGAAGCGGAACGTGTGAACTTAACTGCTGTGCTACTGGGCCGGCCCCGTGAAATTAATTTTAAAGAATATATTTTATTTAATTCAATCTATCAAAATTATCATTTAACATATAATCAATAGAGAAATCTTAATAAGATATTTTACTTTTTCTTTATATTAAACCTTCAAAATTCAGTGTGTAATTTACACTTACAGTGCATCTCAATTTGGACTAGCTGCCTGCTTTTT